GTGTATTAAAAATTTTTGAATTTAGATGCAATACAATTTAGATGCAATACATTTTAAATATTCAAATTTGAATGACTTTGAATTTATAGCCATAAATTAAATAAATTCTTGAATGAACAATTTGAATAAATAGTTTGAATGAACAATTTGAATAAATAGTTTGAATAAATAATTTGAATAAATAATTTAAATAAATAATTTGAATAAATAATTTAAATAAATAGTTTGAATAAAATAAGTTGAATAAAATAAGTTGAATAAATAATTGAATAAAAAAACTTCAATTATTTTTTCGAAAATCTTGTTATGTAAACCTCGTAATTCTGCTATTCTTATGTTAAACTCGGATTGAAATTTAAGAAGCAATTACGTACGTGATTTTGGTGGCGATACTAGGTGGGTTCTTACAACATATACACCAGTGTAAATTAAGAAATTTTCATTTTTTAATTATTAATAAAAAAAAAATACATTATAAAACTTACTTATGGTGGTTTGGTACCTATGTTTTTATTATATTTTGTGTATTTTTTTTTTGTATATAAAATTTTTAACGCAAATTTTTCATGTTAGGGTTTGTATTTAGGTTTGGGAAGAGTTCTTGGGGCATAGAACATTTTACTCAGAACACCCCGCACCGATTAATTAGCTAGTTTGTGTAAAACACCATAGGTGCGTTTTAGTAAATGTCAAAAATTATATACAAAACATTAGAAATCAGAAATCGGAAATCAGTATTTACGCGAAATAACGCACAGGGGCGTTATTTAGAATAATGGCCCAAATTAAGCTTAATTTAGGCTAAAATTTGTAATTTTACCCCTGCGCGTTATTTCGCGTAAATACGGTATCTGGTATATAGAAATCATTTACGGTACTGTACTCGAAACGAAACCTACCCGAAACTAGTTTCGGAAAGCTCTGATCCGAAACTAGTTTCGGATTTTTTACAGCTATTATCATAATTCCTGAACACCTGATAAAATTTGCCGAATGATTTTTCGGCCGGTATATAAAAAGAGAAATTCTATTTTGACCCGGGTCAAAATGGCCCCACCTAGAATTTAGAGTTAGTGACGGCCAGAATTAAGTTAGTGCCGGCCGGGTTTTTTAAAAAATCCTGGCCGGCATCAATATAATTCTGGTCCGCACTAACCGACCGGGGTAAAATCGCCACCCACAAGAGTAGAATCACCACCCAAAAAAATTTCAAAATTATTTAAAATTATTTCGAAGTAAAATTTTATTTTGTTTGGTTAGGGTTAGGGCTTGCCACTAGGTTGGGGTTAGAAGGTGTCATATATACCAAAATTTTGCAAGGAAAATTTTTTACTAATGCGCAAAAGGCTCTTTCATAGACTAAATTTTGAGTTATTTGCGATTTTTGACAAATCGAACGTTTGTTTTGAATTTTCCTGATCGTGCTACGTTACACCAGATCTTGAAATTTGATTGGCTGTGAAATTTTTTAAGGTGGTGATTTTACCCCAGTTAATTTTTTCTATTACTGTATTAATCATTTTTTACCAAAATTTCGGGTCGGAATGGGTCGGCATTAAGTAATGTTAGCCAACATAGTCTATAGCAAAATTATCAGCTGGCTAATCAAATTTATGGTTAGGGTCACTTTAGGATAGAGTTTGGATAGGTTATAGGTTGTTATATATATACGAAATTGCCTTCTCGACATTTTTGATTAACCTACTCGTAGGGTGCGAAAAAAAAAGCCCGGTTGATTTCTGAAATTTTGAAGGCTATAAAAACAATGTCCCACTATTGGTGCTTAAACCGAACTTATTATATGTAATTATATAGTATGATAAACACACTTCGGGCCCGACCCGGTCAACTTTGAAGACTTGTTACTTGCAGCAGGCGTGTGAGAGATACAAATGGAGCCCATTTGCTGAAAGTGTGTTTATCATACTAATTACATATAATAAGTTCGGCTTAAGCACCAATTGTGGAACACTGTTTTTATAGCCTTCAAAATTTCAGAAATCAACCGGGCTTTTTTTTCCGCACCCTACGTTTGAGTACAAACATACCAGTTTCTTGCAATTTTTTGCCAATGACTTTAAGACATTACTTTTTGGAAAAGGTGTATGTATTTCGACGTGAATAAGGGTACTGAATATTGGGGCATAGCATGGTGTTGTCCATAACCCATAAGCTCTTTCGTTATTTGTACCGGTATTCTCCATAATTAAAGCTTCCAGACGAATTTCACGGTCTGTTAACATTTGAAGTATTGATTCAACTGTTTTGTTTCTTTCATATACTCCTTTGCAAGCCAATAAACTCGTATAATTGAGTTCTTTGATAAATGATGGATAATCGAAAAATGGTAGAACCTTTTGAGCTTCACTCTGTGCAGACGTACTACTTCCCTGTTCAAGAAACATTTCATAAATCTTTAATGCGGTCATACTCCTTTTGTGGGTAAAACTAAATGGAGCACTCCAGTAAATTGGAACGACAGCCCGACACCATTCTCGGTTAACTAGAAGTGCCGAATGTATATCACGGAATTCCAAATCTTTGAGAACAATTCTAAGAACATCCACCGCCATTAGTTGAAGGTTTAACCATGTATGGCATATTGCACTATCGTGTGCATAAATATGGAAAATCAGCCAATCAGATAATATGTGGACCTTTCACATAATATATTGTTACACTCGGAACTACCTCTTATAAGTCCGGTACAAAAAAAAGACGCTTTCAAAATTGTGCTACACAATTGCATCATTTTAGCCCATTTGTGCTCGAACTCGCATTAGTTAACGAATTAAATGATTCAAGAAATGAAAAAGAATGTATAAATCAAGAACTAATCAAAATAGAGATTACAAATC